TCGAAATCACTTTCATCACTAGAAGAGATAGTCAGCATATCAGATCTATGTCCTGAAGATAATGATTCTTCACAAGTAAAATTAGTCTCAACTTCGCATGTTGACTTTTTCCCTTTGACAATATAATCAGTGATTAAACTTTGCGATGGCTTTGCTATTTTTTTGTACAATTCCTAATATCCAGAAATGCAATTCTGAAGCTCGCGTTGAAACTTGACTGCTCGTTCATAATTATCATCTTTTTCGATGAAATGGTTTGGCAATTTGTGTCAAAACGTGTCAATTTGGCCTAAAATAGTTATTTAAAAAATGCTTCTTGAAATAAAAACCGCATAACTTCAAGACCGCATAAAAAGAGGACCGAGTGTATTATATTTTAATATTACTCATTGAGTAAATTTAAGTTATTGACAATTTCAATGCTATTAAATCTTTTTTTTTTGTATATAATTTTCAATACAAGTGTAAAATTGAACGAAAGGTTTGAAAACTTATGTATTAAATACTGAATTAAATAGAATTGGATAATGAAATTGAACACACAAAAATTGATGTTTTTTTTATTATTAAAAATATCAAAAATTGAAGTAGTAACGATGATTGAAAATGTTTAGAAAAATTTATAGAAATTACAAATTACTGAATGCTCAATTTGTAGTAAAAACAACATTTCAATTACAATAAATTTCTCATTCAATAAATAAAATAATTATTATTTTGATTATCAATGAAAAATAAATAGGAAAATAGTAATAAAATTTTGATGTACATTGAACAAAATAGTAATAAGCACAAACATCGTCAAAATTAATCAACAAAATGTGTAATTTTGTAAATGGTGTAAAAAGTAGAACATTTTCCAATTTACAAATTGCCAAATCTCCGTTCATACTTTATAAACGTTTCGTATAAAAAAAAAAACGATTGATAATGTAATAAAATCAATGTGTGTAATTTCCGTGCGCAATGTTTTTAACTTTTTTTTTTTTGTATAGTGGACAGCAGATTGTCACTTCGCTTAACGAAAAATGTTTCCATCTAAAAATATTTCCATGCAGATTTTTATTTAGTTTGTTTTTTTATTTTGTGTATCAACTCTGTGACGCTGTCCACGGAAACGTTCGTGTTCCGCACATTTCATGATTAAAATATCGAATGAATAATTACTTTCGCCTAATGGATATATTTGCTGTTGCATCAAAAAACAAAACGAAAACGCGCATCGAGCGCTGCAAAAATGCATTTGTTTTTAATGGACGTATATTTTTTGAATATTTCAACAGACGCGACAATCTGTGAACTTGCATTTCAGCTACATTTCGATGTAAGTAATTAACTAACTTATTAATTTTGTTTGAAATGCTTTTGAAATGTGAAGGATTCAACGAAAATTGATGTTTTAGTTGATTAGTAATAAATGAGTTCTTGTGTAATTTAGATTTACATAACTCTAAATCAGTGTTTTCCAAACTTACATTAACCGTAGATTTTACCAAAATATTTGTGTTTTTTTTTTTAAGAATAATTTTAGACAATGAAAACTTTATAATCAAAGTACAAGATTTTTTTTTAAATATTAACTAAAAACTTTCTCAGTAAAATTTCATTGCAAGAAAGTCTTGAAATTTTTCTATTTATCAACAAAAGTAACAAGTGTTTCTTGTGTTTCAAAAAAAAATTGCTAAAACTTTTGTAATAAAATTACAAGAACTTATTGAAATATTTTCAATTATCAATTGTGTTAAATGTAGCAAATCTTCTAGAAACATTGCTCTTCAATATTATGGTTATATAAATGAGTAAAACTTTTGCAGTAAAGTTTCAGGTGAATTTCACAGTAAGACGTCTCGCTTTTAGTGAATTCGATTAATCGTCGAGTGGGAAATAATTTGCTGAACAATCTTCGACGAAAATGAATGCGTTCGAGTGAATCGATTATGGATTGGAGATGGAACTGGGTTTGTTGGAAATTGCGAAATATAATAATTTACTCGCGGAAAAGCGTACCGTTCGGTGGGGGGAGGGTTGAAGATAAAAAGGAAAGTTTTCAGAGTCGGACGATTCTGAAGTGTCTTCGGCGGAGATAAGCCAAGAAGTGCAGAGAGGGTGCGAGGAGTGAGTGTTCTTTTGTTATTCGTCACGAGCGCGTTTTATCGATACGCAAAATCTGTGAGTTGCTCCTTCGTCCCAGACAGTCTCACCACTACCAACAGCAACCCCATCTATCGTTATGCACCTTTACATATAAATTCGTTTTTACCGTAATCCTCGCTTGATCCTCTCTATATATGTATATTTATAATACACAGGGATATATTGTCGCGTGTTGACGGGGAGCAGCAACCACTTTTAGTTCTATTTACATTTCAATGTTGGTATGCGCGCCACCGAATGCGGCCTCCACGAAACCCCAATATATTACGTATGCAATATACGCGAGATCATTCCGACTGGACAAGTCGGGATCAAATTTATATCGAAAGGGGCCATGGAAATATATATATTGTATACATATATCTGTGGCATATATAACGTACACTCAGTGTTTCTCTCTCTATATATCCGATTAAGAGACAGAGAAGTAACTGATACCGCCGAGTAACGAGACGGATTTTCCGTTTCTTCCACTTGGAGGAATGCGAAATGTGTGTTATTTAGCAAGGATTCCTCCGAGACGCTAGTGGGTTTCAATTTTTTTGTTTCAATGCTAATCCAATCTGCAAACGACTTATCAAACTTTAAAGTTTCACTTGAAGAGGGTGCATTTTCAGCAACGATACTTTTACAGCTCTTAGATTAGCACAGAAAGCTGTCAGTAGACTCAGATGAAATGATGTAATTATCTTTAGCGGTTCTGAAGACATCTAAAATCAGTTATTCTTAAGCAATAATAAAAATGAATAGAAGTTTCGTTACTTTCTAGAAATTACTTTAAAAAAAAACAGTGAATACTCGTCGGATCGCAACGTACGTTACGTAACGAGTTGTGCAACACCTGATTACGTGAAATCATAAGAAAGGTGCGACTTTCAGCTTTAGCTTGAATGTAAAATGATGTAATTATCTTTTGCTGTTCTCGAGTATTTCACTCAAAACTGAAGACATCGAAAATCGCATTGGCAATTGGACAAAATTTACTAAAAACTGAAGACATCGAAAACTCATCGGATCGCAACGTACGTTACGTAACGAGTTGTGCAACACCTGATTACTTAAAATCATAGGAAAGGTGCGACTTTCAGCTTTAATTTGAATGTAAAATGATGTAATTATCTTTTACAGTTCTCGAGTATTTCACTAAAAACTGAAGACATCGAAAACTTATCGAATTGCAACGTACTTTACGTAACGAGTTGTGCAACACCTGATTACGTAAAATCATAGAAAAGGTGCGACTTTCAGTTTTAATTTGAATGTAAAATGATGTAATTATCTTTTGCGGTTCTCGAGTATTTCACTAAAAACTGAATACATCGAAAATTGCATTGGCAATTGGACATAATTCACTAAAAACTGAAGACATCGAAAACTTATCGGATTGCAACGTACTTTACGTAACGAGTTGTGCAACACCTGATTACGCAAAATCATAGAAAAGGTGCGAATTACAGCTTTAATTTGAATGTAAAATGATGTAATTATCTTTTACAGTTCTCGAGTATTTCACTAAAAACTGAAGACATCGAAAATTACATTGATAATTGAACAAAATTTACTAAAAACTGAAGACATCGAAAACTTATCGGATAGCAACGTACGTTACGTAACGAGTTGTGCAACACCTGATTACGTGAAATCAAAGGAAAGGTGCGAGTTTCAGCTTTAATTTGAATGTAAAATGATGTAATTATCTTTTGCGGTTCTCGAGTATTTCACTAAAAACTGAAGACATCGAAAATTGCATTGGAAATTAAACAAAATTTACTAAAAACTGAAGACATCGAAAACTTATCGAATTGCAACGTACTTTACGTAACGAGTTGTGTAAAGCTTGCCCGCATCTGATTATGCAATAAAATCATAAAAAAAGTTCATTAGTTTTCAAGTTATTAAAGAAAATCGTTTATTTTTATCCCATTGGCAATTGGACAAAATTTTCGGTAATTTTCAAGTACTCCTAGAATCGTTTCAGATGGCTCATTCGAAAGGTGATAGCCTAATTAGTAAGATTCCTGTTGAATTACGTAATTACAATGCATGGTTATCCTCAAAAAAGAAATGAAATGTGAAGATGCTCGTAGCAGAAAGCGGGCTTATTGGAAAGGTGACACTTTCAGCTGTAATTTGAGTATAAGTAGATGTAATTATCTTGAGCAGTTATTGAGTAATTCACTAAAAGCTGAAGACATCTAAAATAGTCGTTGATTGACAATAAAATTTCATAAAATCAACTCAATTTTTATACAAAAACTACAGTGAGCTGAAAAGATAAATATAAGCATTAACGTATTTAAGAATGATGCAACGTTTTTGTTTTTGTAAAGTTTGCTGAACATTGCGAAACGAATGTCTGAAGCAAATGAAGTATATTTAGAAGGAAAAACTTAAATTCAATAAAGACCGAGAAACATTTCCTCCCCCCGTTAATTCCGTCCCAATTAAAAAGCGACCGTCGGACCGTGGGGGCGGCTCGTAGGAAAAAGGGGTAGACGAAGGGGGTGAAGATGAAGAGGCGGATGGAGGCAGCAGCAGTGGCGGCGGCTGTAGCGGCGACTTCGTTGGAGGCAGCAGCCACTCTCCGGCAGTCTGCGTGGTAATCGTAGCGTGAAATTATAATTGAGATTTGGCGGAACAAACCAAACTAACTTTCGGCCGCGCACAACTAACTTCTTAATTAAAAGTAAATAACTCGGGCCAAGGGCCTCCACTCCTCCTCCACCTTCCAGAGTGAAAGCGCTTTACCGCCCTCCCTCGCTCCAAAATCCATCCCAACCCTTTTCGCACTCGGAACACGAAATAGCAGGATCGAAGGCCATCAAATTATTATTCATCCTTTCCATTCATTCGAACGAGGTGATGCTGCTGAAGTGCAGAGCTCGGTTCGTTCCCTCTTCCTCCTGATTGATCCTCAATAGAGTCTAATCAAAGCGGACAATTAGACCGATCGCTTCGAACGACTGCGAAACCAATACCTTACCTTGTTCGTCAACAGGCATTTGTGTTTGCATGGATAGGTCTTTTTCTCGTATCGCGTCTCGTGGCTCGGATCGAACACGTGCCTCATTTCCCTGCTCGTCGGATCCGCCGGTCCCCAATTCGAATCCGGTCGAAACAGACTGAACATATTCTGCAAAATTGAATTTATAATCAAACAATTTATTTGTTTCATTAACTACATTTCTACTATTTTAACAACAAATTACAGAAAAACCATACTCTCTATAACAATCCACTGACGCATATTTAATTCCCTATATATTTGTCTTTAATTTGCATATTAAGTCATACGTCTATCTTTGGTATTTCTTATGAAAATCACTAATAACTAAAGACGCTTTTTGAATACTTAAAAATTCATTTTTTCAACTTTGACAGACTGAACTTTTTTTGCAAAATTGAATTTATAATCAAACGATTTACTTGTTTCATTAACTACATTTCTACAATTTTAACAACAAATTACAGAAAAACCATACTCTCTATAACAATGCACAGACGCACATTTAATTCCCTATATAATTGTCTTCAATTTGCATATTAATTCATACGTCTATCTTTGGTATTTCTTGAGAAAATCACTAATAACTAAAGACGCCTTTTTCAATAGTTAAAATTTCATTTTTTCAACTTTGACAGTGAATTTCAAAAGAACAATATTTGCTAAAATTTTGCACATTCACTCCTTAAATATTTGTCTTCAATTTTCATATATTGGAAAAACTCACCCTTTGTAAGATTTTCTTAATTATCTCGATGGTCGTTACGACAATGTATGGCGTGAAAGCTAACGAGACGGCGATTAAAAGGATATCGTTCAAATGGACGTCCTCTTCTGTGAGATTTTGAAGGACCACGGGAATCGTCCACTGCAATGAAACAATGAAAGTACCCAGGTAATTTAAGTAAAAATTGTGCACTAACAACCACAACGATCGGCGTCAGAATCCACGTGAACTTCCAAAATTTGGTCGGAGCTTGTCCAGACATGAAATGTATATCGTCGCTTATTTTGGAGATGCCGTAGATGTAAAACACGCAGAACGTCAAGATGAATACGTTTATGCTGAGGCACAGATCACGAATCATGTAGCAAATGTGAAAGTAGATCTCGTAGACCTCCTGGAAATTGTTGATTGCAAAACAATAAATGTATTATTAAAAGATTGAACTTGCCTTGGACTCGAATAGCATTTCGATCATGAAAGCCAGGAAGCAGATGATCGGCGTGAAATAGAAATGGAATGCGATCATGCTCGGGTATCTCTGGTAGATCGCCTTCAAAAGCAACTGAATGTTGAAGATTATGCGAGTGACGATAGTCAAAATTAACCAGCTGAAATACATGATGTTTAAGAACCTGGAAGCACCTGGAAGCAAACGAATCATTCGATTTGGGGAATGGATGAAAAAGTGCGTGATACTTTTAATCCCTAAGACCGATATCACCAAACCCACTGAAGTGTCGACGCATTCCGGTTCAAAGAACAACTGGATATCCTTCAAATCCATCTTGGCGATTTCCGCCACCTCCACGATCGCAGCACCGAACATCATCAAATTGCTGAGGTAGTATGATAATGTGAACAAACTGGCGAAGCAGATCAGAGATCCGGTTCGAGCTTTCCTCCACGACAACACTCCGAACATGATGTAGGTGTAGCTGCCCGATCCCATGTGGATGAGATTGTAAAGACACGCGTTCGCCCAGCTCTGAAACTTCCATTTAAATACTGGAAAACTAACAGAATGATTGCAAAACCTTCCAATTCAAGAAAGAGCTGCATTTGATCTCGTAGACAATCTGAAACGTTTTCTTGGTGTTTGTTAATAACATTACCGTTGTCAGAACGACGTTGCAGAACAAGCAATACGAAACTATGAATTTCAATACCTAAAATTTGAATGTCGCTAATAATTGAATAAGTGATATCTTTAAAATTACAACTTTTTTCAAATAGACGAAGCGAAGTGAAGCCAACAGATATATGATCAGCCAGCTGACCACCGAAGCCCAAGCTCTCGAAATCTCTGGCAACGAGAATCTACTTTTGGCCTCCATTAGAGAACCACCCATGAACGTCGAGCTGAAAACATAATCTGCAATACTTGTCTCAACTTCTTCAATCTACTTCCAGTAAACTGAAGCTGCGAGATACACATTTTTCCGTATGCAAGGCGGATTCTCGCATTCGTCTTCGATGCTGTAGCATTGGTGTTTCATATTTTTAGGGCACGACATCCACTGTAGACCTGTCGGCTCTAAAACCATTATCATGTACAGAATGTACGTTTCCATTTTGATGACGCTCATCGACCATTCCCAGAATTCCACCGCAATCATTGCGAACACTAGCACGTTCATAACAGGCAGCATTCGTTTAAGGTAGAATATACCTAAATGCGTGTACTGTCCCAATATCACCTGGATGTAAGTGACAGGAATACCGACGAAGATGTACGCGATTATCTTCTGAACCACATTGGAAACTGATGAAGAAGCGTAACAGATAAAGGACTTTCAAAATAAAGGAATTTAATGCACCATCATCTAGTTGTTCGCTCGTGAAGAAGCTGTAGTCCGGCAGCTCGCTGTGCGCAGCGATGCTCATCATGAGGAACTCGCAGTTTGAAGACCACTTTGTAAGCTCCGCCGCTTGCGCTCCCTAATTACTCGCAAACATTAAATTACCAGTATCCCAAGCTTCAAGGATTTACATTTCCAAGTGCAACATTGGGAACGTCTCTTGAACCATCGCATTCTGATTCTGTGCTCGTCCTTCTGCTCTGCTCATCATCATCCATTCTCTGCGCTCGCACTTACTTGACAGTAATTCAACCAATTATTATATTAAAACTCGTTACTACGGAAATAATACGAATTGCAATTAAAAAGTTAAATTGGATATTATTGTTTCCATAATCATAATTTCCATTAACCACTTAAAATAATTTTAATTTCAACTATAATCATTTAAACAATATTCACTTAGAATCCTATATTATAGCATTAATAAAACAAATAAATAATAAATCGTAATTTATGATAATACTGTAAATTACTGTCAACTAAAGTGCATTTGCATTATTTTAATCATAATAGAGTACGAGCTTTAATATTATTGATTACATTTAAGTTCAAACAATATTTTCCTGCTGAATGAATTTGAAAACAGCAAATGTATTATAGGAAACTCAAACAACACTGGTGTATATTAAGTTGCGTATTACTTTTTCAGCATTTTTTCAGGAAATTCAGAAAATAATTTTGTACTTTAACAACACCTTGCTCAGTGTGGATTTTATAGAAGATTATACCAAACAAGAGGATATTAACTTATTTAGATAGTTTGTATTTATTAACAATATTCAATCGTTTGAAAAGCTATACACAAAATTGATATATAAAAGAAAATAGATTTAATATAAAAAAATATTAATAAATAATAAGTTTAGTAAAAAAGTAATAATCATAATAATATGTTAGTTGCAACGATGTTTCCACCTATTTTTAACTAAATCTTCGATAGGTAACATAATAGCACATTTGTTGCACAGCACAATCTCCTCTGCTAAGTGAGCGTTCTGGTAGTGAGTCTGCATGAGTCTCATGTGGCTGAAGCCTTTCGAGCAGAACGTGCATCGAAACGTAACAGCAGCAGACAAATATGCATTAGCAGTCTTGAGGAGCGTTTCCGCATCCGTGTTAAAATTGTACACGGTCAATTCGATTTTAGGCGAGATGACTTCGTAATAGTTAAGAAAGTTGTGGGCATCGGCGTGCCTCTTGCTCCGCACATAAGTGTTATTGGTTAAAGGGATAACAGCTTTGGAGTTCGTCAAGAAATGTTCCAAATACTCTTTAACGTCCAAGAAAGCCTCCTTCATCATCAAACCAATTTCTTTACTGTGTTCCTAAAACAGAAATATAAATTAGATTTATTTATTTATTTACGAACCGGAGATGAGATAAACCTTGTTCTCTGTTACTTTCAAGAAGTCATCAACGAAATTCATCATACTTTCGTATGAGTAAGCGCAGCATTCCTTATTGTTATTCACTTTCGTCCAATTAACGTTCATGTTCACTGGACGGTGAGACGGAGATTGCTTCTCGCCGGTCAAGAATCTCTCCACCTCTGGTACTACTGTTCTGGCGAACGAAATTGACGGCAAATTAATCCAGATATAAACGTAAGGATTGTTGATGAACTTTGGGAATTCAATGCTACCATTCCAAGGTTTCCCAAGATGTTGCATAGCTACAATATCATCTAAAAACAAATATAATATAAATCATTGAAGCACTTCGATTACACAATACTTTACCTCCTTCAACAGTGAAGAGAGTTTTGAATAAATGTTTCATTGGTCCCTGCAGCTCGATGTGATAATCTGGTGTAACAGACTCTGTCTGACATGCTATCTCTTTGGATTCCTTCACCACCCGCTTATCCTCAATTACTTTGATATAATTAATAGCTATTTTCACTATCTCACTTAAATATACTTCAAACTCCTCCAAGTATTCAGAAACAGCCCAATTCAGATCTTTTTTCGCAAAGATTACTGAAAATATTCATAAAATTAATAAAGATATACAAGTTTTAGGATACACAACAAACCTTTCCACCTCGGCCACCTCACAATGAACTCACTCACCACGGATCTTAAAATATCACTTGATTTGACCTTATCCAAATCCTCTTTGAGGAGCACATCTATTTTCTTTTTGTACACCCTTTTGAAGTTAAAGTAATCGTGGAACAATTCTTTCTTAGTAACCATATTTACTATTAATTGTGTATTTTAATAACAAAATAAACACGTAAAGATGATAAATTTAATGCAAAATTATATTAACTACAAATATCTGTTGCTTCGCACGTAAAAGTGTGCAAAATATAAGTGCAAACAAGAACTGCATACAACACTACCATTGACTACCATCATAACCTTTATGGTATGTAGCAAAATCTTTATTTTCAAATATCCGAACAAAAATTATAGTTATAAGATATACACAAAATTTCATTCAAATTGTAACGATTATCAATAAATATTTGTATTTTCAATTATTATATTTCAATACATGATACAAATATAAATTTGTATTATAATTTCAAATTTCTACAATATGCTCAAGAAGTTGCATACAGGTCTAAATCAAGTCGATTTTGATTACAGTTCACTACAAAACGTTAAAACTTATAAGTTATAAGATATACACAAAATTTCATTCAAATTGTATCGATTATCAATAAATATTTGTATTTTCAATTAGTATACTTCAATACATGATACAAATATAAATTTGTGTTACAATTTCAAATTTCTACAATATGCTCAAGAAGTTGCATACAGGTCTAAATCAAGTCGATTTTGATTATAGTTCACTACAAAACATTAAAACTTAATATCACAGCATTCATCTTATAAAATTTAACGTGACTTTTGAACTTCTGTAAAATAAATGAAAATTTTGTAAAAAAAAATAAAACCAATACTTCGTAGTAAATGAATTCTATTAAAGTAAATTTGTAATATTATTTATATTTTAGTACTTTTGATAACTAAAAGAAGTTATAAATTGAATCGATAATTAAAGGGAAAATTTAAAAAGAAATGAAAACATCATTGCCTCTTGCAACAACATTATATAATATATCACAAATACATGCGTCTAAATTACGTTTTTTTTAACAACTATATATTACTCATTGATACATAGTGTACAAATAAATTCATAAGTTGTTTGCTATAATCTCAATAGCTCAGTACTCTATTTTACATGCAATTGCCATGGCAATTTGTTGCTAGTAGCAACAATAGTACACCTTGGAACAAATGAAATCCAAGGATGTTTCAGTTACGATAATTACACGCATTTCCTCGTAGATATACTAAATTGGTGTTCTTGACAGAATTTCTGAATTTGTAAATGAAACTTACCGAATTGCAATCAAAGGTTTTCCAAAAATTACTAAACTTTCGTGTTCAATAAGTTTACTTACATCATAATAATCATACATCAAAGAAACTATTTTAAAAAAAAATTATATATAGAACATCATCATTCAAAAAGAAAATAAATCCAGGCCTTTCTAAGAGAACTTCTAATTAGTCATAATTAATTCATTCGCTTCCAGCTTAAATAAATAATTCAAATAAATAAATAATTATAAAAAAACTAAACGTTTTCAAGGATTTATTAAATGTATATTCAGGAAGATTGCGTGAGATTCTACGAACAGAAGAACCCAATCTCAACTACATCGAAAAGGATTTTCATCTTGTTGTTAATTAGGATCTTGCACAAATAAAATTTAAAAAAAAAAAACGTTTCAAATTTTTTTTACCTAAAAATTAGTTTTTTTTTTTTCTCTCTTTCTCCATCTCTTCATTGTTTCATTTAAATTAAATTTTGGTAATTATTACACGAGATTATAGATTCAAATATATTTTTTTTCTTTCTCAATTTACAAATTTTATTCCCTTTCTCTACATCTCAACAAATTCCGCAGCAGAATTTTCACCGTCATGGAAGAGTTTGCATTATTTTTTTTGCATCATTTTTGTTTTTCATAAAAGTAAGTAAGAGTTTTGTCGGTGTCGAAGAAGAAGAAGAAAAAAAAAGAGGAACAAAATTCACTATTTCGTATTTATTATTTTTTGTTTGCGTTCAAAATTTGGCTGCGAAATCTTGGTATTTAAATAAAGAACACATTAAACGCCAAATACAACTAGATTTTTTTTTTGGGGGGAACAAATAAATTGGGGGGAGTTTGGGGGAGTTTCATAGTAGTAGAAAATAAATCGCGTTGGCGCGTTCTCTCTCTCTTCGCGAGAAAAAACACGATAATACAACTAATCTTAAGAACTAAAGTAATGGGAGTTTGGGGGGACAGTTTTCTTATTTTCTTGTCGTGTTCCATGGGGGGCAAATCATGATATCAAACACTCTCACACTCGCGCTCCGAATATCGTCCAACACAGTCACTTGAACAGAGAGAGATTGTGAAGAAAAGGAAAAAAATACTTATAGATTACTAAACTGGCACTTAACTAACAAAATAATAATAATAATAATAAGAAATATTTACAAAAATAAGTCTAACAAAAAATAAAAAGAAAAACATTTTAAAATAATCAAAACGCTTTTGGTGTCGCGCTTCAGCACTTAAGCTACGAAGTAGTTATTACATGTTCTTTCTTTGTCAGAATCAAAAAAATAATAATAATAATAAACAAAAAAAAAACAACATAGATTACAATAGAAAATAAACACGCCTCATCTCATTTCCTCGTCCTAAAAGAAAAACAAACAGTCACAATTAATTTATCCGCATAAGATACCGAAAGAGTCCTCTATAGACGGACAGACTATCAAGGTTTTTTTAAATAAATGTTTTCTCGTCTTTTAAAAGGAGAATCATAAGGAATACAAAAACAAAAGAAATACATATTATATACAATAGTCCTAAAAAATAAACATTGGTATGTACACGTTTCTTTTTCAATCATTCGTTTGCTTTTTTTTTTTGCTTGTTTCCCTTCTAAATCCCGTCAATATATTCTGTCCTGACAATTATTTTTTTGCTCTGCGCACAGTTTCCTTCCTTTCTACATTGAATTTTATCGAATTGTTACTTGAATGGGCGTCATTGCAAATGAACATATGTCAAAAGTGGGTAGTAGGAGTGGAGGAAGGCTGAGAATCCTTCTTCTTTGGCAAAAACTGGCGCGCAAAACAAAACAAAAACCTCTTATTTACTCTCGTTTTTTTTTATCATCTTCTTCATCATCATTATAGTGTTAAACTTTTTTTTTTGCGTTCTATATTAATTATGAGATCTTAAACGTTTACGTAGGTATGTATATCCATCAACAGTAGTTTCTCCGTTGCTCTCTTATTGCTTCAAAATCAATCGATAACGTAATAAGCTTAATTTGTTGTGTGTGTTTTGTGGGTCTGTCCGTCCGGCGGTGCCGCAGTCGCATTATATAATATTGTTTTAAATGTTACAATTAAGAATTAAATCTGTACAACAAATAGTCGTCAAATCAGCTTTGATCATATTATTACATGTGTCTTTCTTTCAGCTTCATCATCATCTTCTTCATTCTTTCTTCTTCATTACATTACTTCTTTTTTTTTTCTTTGCAGTTTCTCTTTTCTATATATGTATATACTTTAAATAGTCCGTTATACAATTTGCATTAGTTATTTTTTTTTTCTTTCATTATTCTCATTTTTGTTTATCCTGGTTTTATTATACATATAGTAGTTTGAGTTCCGTGATGAGGATCGCGTGTCATCTAAAGCTATGTCAGTGAGTGCTGCGAGACTGCTCCTCCTCGACGTGCAGCTGCAGCACGTATTATCTGCGGTCCTGGTACAGCAGGTAGGTTTGAAGGGCCGCAGGCAACGCTAGCAACGTCACCTTACCTTCCAGGTGGTTCTTTCCCAACCGTTGTCGTATCACCCTCCTACACAAGTCCATCAATGGCAGGGGTTCAGCTGTTGGAGAAAGAAAACAGACGATGAAAAAATTGTCAATAAATCCTTACGTAAACCCATCAGATAAATGTATTTTTAACCGTCTCCCAAACGTATTATCAATAGAGAATAACGACATTTTGGTCCAAGTTTCTTATTTCTTCCTTCTATTATATGCAAACACCATAGATAGATTTATGAAAATGCGTTTGGGAAAGTTCAGTATTGGTGTGTATTTAGAAAATATACTTACGATCAAGGCCTCCAATATATTTCATTGTTATTTCACAGTGTCCCCACACGGCGGAAACAATGGGATAGAGCTTGCGTCCTTTCAGGCCTCTGAACGCGACTCCCAAATACTGACCGTCGACGACGAAGCTCAGCGTGCCTTCGTCCATGTCCAGCACCACCAGGAAGCGGTCAGGAACTATGAACGTTTCGTCAGGCTTCAGTAGAGCGGGATACGTGACGCCAACATTGTTCTTCGAGTCGTGATAGAGTTTATTGCGACCTGCAAAGGTGTAAACACAAGAGAATTGGTAATTAACATCAAGATTAGGTCGCGGGTCGGCTCTTACTATTACCTAAATCCCAGCCCCAAGACATATCCGTACTCCCAACGAGACTTTGATAGCCTACAGAGTGCAACGGGGCTTCCGCGGTGGCGACTCCTACTACGGCATGAGTACCCCTTTGGCGCGTCGACCAGCAGACCTCCCAAGCGTGGAGACCCTTCGTAAATCCGACCTTCCCCCGGATGCAGTCCGTGCTCTGGGCAACTGGATGCCTGTGGAACGTCAGTTTGTCCTCTTCCTTGACGAATATATTCAGCGATCTATCGTCGGCATTCCAACTGTATTTGAGTTGAGTTTCCCTAAGCGCGGGCGGCATGTCCAGCAGCATGTCGAGCCGCGGGGGCCGCGCAAAGTCCTGTGCCAGCTCCCTGGGAATGACGGGTTTGTAAGGGGCGGCCGCGTCCCGGTTCACGACCTTAACTCCGCTTGAGACCTTCTGGCCCATGCTCATGCCACGGGCCCTCCTGCGGCCCGTCTTGCACGGCACCACGGCCGCTTTGTACGCGCGACGCACTTCGCAGGCTGCCCTTGTTCCCCCGCTTCCTCCCCCGCAACTGTTACTTCTCACTGTGCTAGAACGCACTCCACTCTTGTACCTGCAACAGAAATATAAAGAACAACCCTTAGTATCAGGATACAAGCATCCACCATCAACGCAACTACAACTAGAAGAACATCAACGTTCTACAAAATTAAACGACGCAACGCATCGGAATCCACGATGGCGTGCAAACAGCAAAAAGCCACCGCAATTGCAATTAACCAATCAATTTAAATGCAGCCATTGTTTAAACCGATGAATCATTTCAACGACCCATTCAACGAGCCGCTCTCTCTCTCCGAGCACAATAATCAATCTGCAAGCATTGATATTTCTTACTTCAACCAAAAACCTCTCACGATCCTGTCATCAAAGTTTCAACTTAAATTAATTATCCGTCTAAATGACAAATTGATAGATTCTACTAAAACCTAGATGACTGCTTAATTTTACCACATATTGAGAAAATAGAAATCCAACAATTCTTAGTTGTACATTATGAATAGGGTGAATGTATAGGTGCTTTCATATTAAATAAATCATTCGCTCCTCGTAAAAATGCACATAGCACATGTCGCCCAAGTAACCTTTCGAAAGCGAACACATTACCATTAGTTCGAAGAAATAACGAAAAAAAAAATAAATGAAACGAGCGCTATAGGAACTCCTGTTTTTCATTGCGCAACGCCTGAATAACAGACCTTAATGTTTATACAACATTCACGCGCAACGGAAAAATATCGTCGTGGAATATTATACATTCTAAATTTCGAATTGAAACTATGTAAAGTTAAAGCAAAAATAACAATAATAAAAAAAAGCTATCGAATTAGACGAAGAATTTGAGAAAGAGAGAAAAAAATCGGTGAGGAAAGATTATTAGTGCAATGGACGTGGGAAACGTTGAAATTGCATGGTAAGATTACTACATCCATGGAGTCACCACTGTTGTGTTGTAAGCTGTGACATTTAAACTTTGGCATAAAATGGATGGACAAAAATAAGGGAAAGGATGATGATGATGGTTCATTCAATTAGAAACAATTAAAAGAACAAAAAAGGGTGTCCGTCCGTCGATTGCTGCTAGAGGCAGAGGCCTGGTGCACGTGTCTAGGGCATTGGCCCCTGCTGCACCGCCGACTCAGCGGGGGAATCAAACTCTCCCCCACCGGAATGACTCACGTATAGTCAGCCAAGTAGGATAGTGCACATGTATGATGCAAGTAAAGCATATGCAGACGCAACGAATCAGCTGTTCCCCATGGATCTAATTACATAAATAACATCCACTATTTGCTTATCGTAGAGAAAAAAAAAAGAAAAATATATTATATATTAAAATAAGGAAAACGGCATCTTCCAGCCACATCCATTTCGAGTTAATGCAAACACAGGCTTTTCGGGGAAATTGCAAAATTAAGCTTCGCAGCAGCGTTAAAGGATGTTGTTGTTGTTGATGATGATAATAAAAAAGAGCCATCGGTTCTACCGATTACGCGCACACAACACCTGGCCTGACATAACGGCTACGGAGAGGGCCCCCCGAGCTAAGCACAAAGCCCCTACTACTAATACCATTTCCAAGCATGTGCATAGCCTTGGAGAGCCGTTTCGAAATGTAAACTGCAATTTGAAAAAACTCCAAAGTGCGGCAAAAGAGGCAATTGAATTTGAATTTCGACATGGATCGACGGCTCGATTGCGACAATGTAGTAATATTAAAGAGGAAGATAGATGAATACACGCAAATGGTGAGAGGGAATAAGTGAAACAGAGAGAGCAGAGGAAAAGTGCGCCGGCTGGATGTTACGCAACCGGCGCGCGGCGACCGTGAACTTGTCCTTGTTCGCTCCGTTCAGCTCTTCGGGCTATGGACGTGGACTTCAAAAGGTCCACCTCTCACCAATTTCCTCGGCCTACCGGAAACCCATCACCGGAACCGATTACCAAGATGGAGAAGGAAGACCGTGGCGACCATGGAGAAAAACAGCACCAATTACGGATCCTTCCACCGGCTCCGCTCGGCTTGTAGATAAGGACGGAAAGCGAGGCAGCAACAACAAACACCACCCACGCAACCGTCGCTTTCGCAAACACACGTTGCTGCTGCTGCCGCTGTCAGCTTTCGTGGAAGTCCGTCGTCGTTGAATCAATGAATGATTCAAATGTGTATGTATTTAACGTTCTCAGGCAGGAAAACACTGAAATGAATGTATGTACGTTCGTACATACGTACGTACATAGCCGCGCCGCGTCCAGGCTAAGCGCCAGATGGTCGTCACATACGCTCCCAACTGTGCATACAAAAATAAAACAAACAACTGAACGGTAGCCTCGGGCCCATAAATTAATACGAAATCCCAGAAATATAAAAAGAACGAACTGCTATTTCGGTGGCAACACAACAAAATACCACAAGAAAATAAACAAGCAATCTGCGGTGCAGCACAACGAGAATGCACGTAATTTGTTAGGACCAAATAAGGCCAGTTCCACAAAGGAAGACGAATGATCGAAGAAAGACCTTTTCCGACGTTCAGTGTATGACCATTTAAGAATTAAGAGAAGATTGAGTATTTCTATAAAGTAACGAGACAGTTCACAATAGTTCTAAACGTGCTAATAGTTGTTTCAATATAATTAATGCATTCAATTGAAAGTAATGATGAAAACACTAAAATTTCAATATAAAAAAAATGTCTGGAATACATTAGCGTTTTAATGAATGTTAATTTTGAAAGCACAACAACAAAAGAACTCCATATTAATATGCCACGAACATAGCCTGCTACTTTATTATGTACTTGTACACCTAAAGCAGTAATAGCAGTATTTCCTCAATAAAAAAATAACACTGTTTATTATTTAATAAAAGTGAAGAACATGAGGAAGGAATTCATTTAAAATGTGGTATTAACTTTCTGATATTTATGTTAATATCAACGTATATAATAATAATGTAACGTTATGAGAGCGCAAGTTGCAAAATTATTGTTTTCGGGTAATGGGAAAGAACAGAATTTCTAAAAACAACGCGAATTCGGATCAATTATGCATTAAGTAATCGAGCTTTCTATTTCGTTAGATTCCTAGAATTCTGACTGTACCAGGGTGTACCCGATCAAGCGAAATTTCCAGGTACGAACGACCAGTTTACCATACTGGTCACCGGAATTGCAAGCATTCGCTCTCCAAAAAAAAAAACAAACAAACAAAAAGAAAGAAAGAAGTTATAACAATATGTAAACAGCAGATATAGTGAGGCACAATATATCTGTCATAGGTTTGAAACAAAGAAAACGTCTTGTTATTGTGCTGCGTCTGAAGGACAAACTTTGTTTGTTGGCGCGGTAGAACCAAGAAAGAAAGAAAGAAAGAAACAAACGAGAAAAAAAAAACTACAGTAGAAGGGTAAAATGAGAGCGCGGTTTGGATTGGATCTTCCGAAGAAATCGAAACTGGTTTAGAAACAATATGTTCGTTCTCGAGTGGCCGTGTTGTAACAATACGCAAGTTACAAAACGGCGTTCGTTGCAAAAGCACTTGAGTGCCGTAGTAGTTATATGAGATGAATGCACGTACGTAAATAGGTGAAGAGTGATAATAACTTAATGCGAGGAGACTTTCCCCAACACACAATAGGAAGTAGTGGTTGTGTCGATATTAACCATATAGATCTAGACGCAGCAACTCACATTTCAAGCTACACAATCTCTCTTATATGTCTGTCGAAAAAGAGACCATCCAAGGTTAGACGTGAAGAAACGTACCTTGTTTATTGAATGCACTATATGCTTACCGACAAAAAAAAAACACGAACTCGCACACACAGACACGGGTTTCGAACGATGGATGGATGAAGAGGAAAAAACACTTTCAAAAGAGATAAAGAATGTGTCTTCTCTTCAAATCAATGTTGAAACTTACTTTCGCCTGGCTATTTCCATAATTCCTTATCCTGCCTTGCAATTTGGAGAGTGAATTATTACAGGATAATAAGTTCACTGAACACATGCAACTTCCAAAAGCACTTCGCTCACGTCACAAGCCTCTGATGATAATGCTGAAGAAAAGAACAACTTTTAGTTCGCATCCCTTCGCAGCAGCAAAATTTCTTAGATGCACTATCTCACTGTGATGCCCAAATGACGGGGACTACTATTACTAACTAATATAAATTATAAATAAATAAAGTTTGAAAAGTGTCCGGAATACGACTGCACTCACTCCGTGTACCACAGCTACCACGTGCACTAACAAAGACTGGCTTGGAAACTGGTAGATCAGTACTATGAAGGGAAACGTTGGTGGGAAGTGGTAGTACGATCAGGACGACGGTGGAGGGGAGCGACGCCTTTCTACGTACATATTGCTATGGTACGGCTCTATGCTATGGTGGAGGAAGTGGAGGGGTTTTCCAAGAACGGGGCGCGCACACTCATTGTCAGACGTATTTTTAGCACGTTGCAGTTACGAGACGATGGCGAGAGAGTCCGTGGCCTTAAGAAATGCTATGTGGAATTTGCAATATACGCACAATTCGGCGATCCTTCTGATGGGGGGCGGCTATTTTTATGACTGTTTTCAGGAGGACGCGGCCCCAATTCCGCGAGACGCACTCTGTGCATGACCCACTTTCCTGATCCAAAGCACATACCACAACAAACAGGAAAATATAAATCCTCTGGCACCAAACAGAAGAAAACAAAAACAAATGCGCGCTTTACTAATTGCCCTCATCTATACCAAAAAAAAAGGGCCGTAATCATTGCGTAATATGTTATTCCCTGTACGACCACAAATATTACGCAGCGAAAAACGTCCAATTCAAATTTGCAAAAGTTAAACAACATATTTTCAAATACAACATTATTCAAATGCACGTAATAACACAACGCTCGATTTCGAAAATGAGTAAATAAACTATAGGTCAAATTCTACTGGTACATAACATAAACATATTATCGTTGAAATCAAAGTTATTTCATTCATTACTCGCAATATTTACTACATTTACTTAAGATTAATCAATGAGTATGATATGATATTACAGTAATAATTGAAATTATCTTATTTTCTGATTGTTTATGAGACACACAACATTTTGTAAGCAAGACATTTATGGCGAGAACATAAATTGTTCATGCTTGGAAATATTGTAAAAGTAACCTTCGGATCAATCATTTACTTAGAACGTCGTCGCTAATTTCATTGGAAATATTGACAGAATGGGGAAAATCAAGTCAATATTGCTTCAATAAAAATACGCAAACTAAAAGCCCAATGTACATAATTGTTACACATACAGTTCTTACTTTCGCCATTTACCATAACAAATTCTCAGAAAGTTTCACAAACTCCTTTATAATTGACTATATTAAGGTATGGGTAATTGCATAATTCTGTAACTACTAAATAGTAAAATTTATGTGCGAATACTTGCCTTTTGATTCTATAATAATTTCCAAATACTCCTTTATATATTGAGATGTACACAATAACTCAAACAAGAGAATTTATATACAGATGTGTTAACTATAAATTAAATCTTACTTTCGCCATTTATCATTACCATTTCGGTCTATAATAAATTCGCAGAGAGCAGTTTCAAAACTATTTTTTTTCTCTCTCTCTCAGATTTACGAAATTACGATGTAAATAGAGAGGAAGAAAATATAGCAAAATGTATGTGTTTAGTTCTTACTCCAGGATCGAAATGGAAGAGTATCCCAAGTCGTCAGGACAGTACCAAGGCAGCAAAAGAAAGTTGTTTAGCTTTCTACAGTAAGGCAATCTGTATAAATTTAAGGCGTTCCCTAAAAACTTCAGGTATCTTTTCTGAGGTTGTCTGTAATTTACAATATAGTTTCCGAACGTCGCTCGTAAAATTTCAAAAAAAAAATAATCAGATATTATTTCTATGGCCTTTTAATAACAACATCAATTGGTGGTAATCAAAAGACAGGAACTGATGAAGTTTTGTTGACAAAAATAACGACCACCAACTTAATCTACTATTAATGAGTATAGAAAGAAGATTTGTACTAATAGACGCAAGCAAAATCCTTGAAGCTCTTAATTGGTAGAGATCACATATTCTATACGTAATGAGGAAATTTAGCAATCGACGAAGTTTTTCCGCAATCATTCCAAGAAATCATGTACGTTTATTTTCAATGTGCAAAACAATTTCAATAACTCGTATTTATTTACCTTAATATTTAAGGATTATTTAACGAATGGAAAGGATGTTATTATAAAGTGATGAAATTTACCATCAAGGGCAACAATTTGCGCAAACAGGCAATTTGTTTACTCGCACAATGGTTTTAGACTCTAAACTTTAGAGTGTATGATGGAAACTATTACACAATGTTGTAAAAGAGAGGAAAAAAATTGGTATTGATGATTGTATCGAATGATTTGGAGAATCGTGTGGGAAGTGACGAAGCCAAGTTTTCGGTGATCCAAGAACATAAACAATAAGGTATTAGTTATTCACCACGCTTAATCTATAATAGGTTGAAGAACTTGCGCGAGTGATCGTTTGCATGATAAACAGAATTTCAGAAATACAAAACACACCGAATATGTTCTTGAAAAAGCAATTTCCATGTGGTAAGCAAATGTTTCGCATGGGATAGAGTATGCATTACATATTTTTGTATCAGAGGAAAGAGTAAGTAAATGCATTTCTCAACGCGATTACAGTTATTTGATTGGGTTGTACAAGAGCTGTTTTGCCTGTCTGATAGTGGCGTAATCGCTCGTTAAAGTGTGTAGTAATAAAATAAAATTGGCGAATTTCCCTTGCGGGAATTGTTGCTTGCTTGGTATGAAGAATACGGCGAAGACGACGCACCGAGTAAAATTAATATTGCGCTCCCCGTGTATTATTTCCTTCGTGTTATGCACGTTGCTCCATGGAGCACGAGCGGAATATTAAATCCTTCCTATTATTACAAAAGTGCTTCGGCGTGTTGTGCATCCGCAACGCCGCCATTTGCAGCAGCAGCAGCAGCACAGGATGAAGGAAGGATAATTCTTCTCGGAGCTGCAAAATTTTCCAAGGAACGAAACTGTTCCTAGATTGTAGAACCCAAAAAAATAATAACGAAGAGAAGAAAACAAACAAATTCTGGCTATAGTGAAACATGAATTTTCCTACCTAACGTCTTTCATCTCTCTCGTTGCTATCCCTCGGCTAAGGCCGATCCCAAACGCATGGAGTATTAGATATCTCCCTACTCAAGGGTAACAACCCCAAGACCATTAGTATTCAACTAGGAGATAGATAGAGAAACCGGGAGAAGGCAGACCCGAACCCCAGGGCTCTAAAAAGGGAAATTAGTTTTGAAATCGGTAGGTTTCAAAACCCTACATAAGGCGCACATAAGGATAACTGAAATATTCGAAATTCGAAATAATTGAATCACTTCTTATTATTTATAATTTGTATAAATAATGACAAAACAAGTACTGAAAACGTAATCAGAATTTACTTAAATATAAATCGGAAAAAATTATAGTTTAAAATTTTTAATAAATTTAATTAATTTAAATTTTTTTTAAATAAAAATAAGTCATTAGAATTAATATAGAATTTGTTTGAATGATGTTGAAAGAAGTACTAAAACGTAAAGTAAATAGTTTGAAGACAACTGAAATTTAAATTTAAAAAAGTTTGTAATTTTATACAAAATTAAATAACTTCGAAATGTTTTAAATAAAAATTTGTCATAAATTGATATTAATGTAGAATTTGTTTGAATAATCTTAAAAGAAGTACTAAAACGTAAAGTAAATAATTTGAAGACAACTGAAATATAAATTGGAAAAAAGTTTGTAATTTTATACAGAATGAAATAACTTTGAAATGTTTTAAATAGAAATTTGTTATAAATTTATATTAATATAGAATTTGTTTGAATGATGTTAAAAGAAGTACTAAAATGTAAAGTAAATAATTTGAAGACAACTGAAATATAAATTTAAAAAAAATTGTAATTTTATACAAAATGAAATAACTTTGAAATGTTTTAAATAGAAATTTGTTAAAAATTTATATTAATGTAGAATTTGTTTGAATAATGTTAAAAAAAGTACTAAAACGTAAAATAAATAATTTGAAGACAACTGAAATATAAATTTAAAAAAAGTTTGTAATTTTATACAAAACTTAATCACTTTGAAATGTTTTAAATAGAAATTTGTTATAAATTTATATTAATATAGAATTTGTTTGAATGATGTTAAAAGAAGTACTAAAACGTAAAGTAAATAGTTTGAAGACAACTGAAATATAAGTTGGAAAAAGTTTGTAATTTTATATAAAATTTAATCACTTTGAAATGTTTTAAATAGAAATTTATTATAAATTTATATTAATATAGAATTTGTTTGAATGATGTTAATTCAAACAAATTCTACATTAATATCAATTTATAACAAATTTCTATTTAAAACATTTCAAAGTTATTTCATTCTGTATAAAATTACAAACTTTTTTCCAATTTATATTTCAGTTGTCTTCAAATTATTTACTTTACGTTTTAGTACTTCTTTCAACATTATTCAAACAAATTCTACATTAATATCAATTTATGACAAATTTCTATTTAAAACATTTCGAAGTTATTTCATTTTGTATAAAATTACAAACTTTTTTTAAATTTATATTTCAGTTGTCT